AAAAAAATTTAATTTGTGATACTAAGAGTCACAGTATGTATGAACTCGAACGCAATTTTTCACTCATCACGCATATACCAGTTTTAAAGTATTCAAATATATTTTTTCTCTTTGACAAATTAATCATGTTAGTTAATTTCTTTTAATATTTTTGGTTTAAAAGAGAAATGAACATTCAAAAAAACTCTTAAGAGCTTTTATATCAATCGAATGATGTATCTGTCAAAAAAGATATTTCTAGTAAATCAAAACCAAAATATTTCAGCTCAAAAATATTTCAAGATGTTATCTTTGGTTGAATTATTTCAATCTTAATATTAATAATAACATTCTTTATTGGAATGCAAGGTCAAATAACGTCAGATTTCAACGTCTCATAGGAATTGCGTGTCAGTTATTTTTTGATTATTGTAACAGTAATTACAAGAGTAACATCATCTATTATAGGATTTATGATACCAGCTATTTTAGCAGAGATGATTGTCTTAAGCCGAATATCCAAACTTGATGGGTCAGGTACAAATATTAGCAAATTAATGGAAGCATCTATGTCACGTAGTTTATATTGTACTATAACGACTTATTTTAGTACTGGTAAAACTCGTAAGCTTACTATAATTATTGCCTTAGTCTTATTATGACAATATCTAGCATCAGCAGCTGATTTGTATCTTCATATAACTGCTATTGGAAATTCTCAACAATTACCTGGATTAACTATCCCAAGTACTAGAGTATTAGACATAGCAACCAATTGTACTGAAATAAATAATGAAAATAATTGTGTAAAAAGAAAACGTGAAATAAAGAATAATGAGAAAGTATTAAAAGTATATCTAAATGCAAGTGATTCTTTAGTAACTTGGCAAAGTGATGATAGAATTTACCTTATACAATCTCCACCTTTAGAGAAAACCTATTCATATTTCGGATCTGGTGTATTTTTACAACCTTCATATATACCCATAAGTAGCATATGTAATTTAAAGGCCAGATATGGTGCTATGACAAATTATAGTTGTCCTAAAGAATTCTGGTATGCTTCAGGGAATACCATAACGCAATCATTCAATGTAAATATTACTGAAGGAATGCATGGTCCTGGACCTCTACATGCAATTGTCACTATACGTTATGCTAAAGAGCTCTCAACTAATTATGATTCTGAATTCGTAGCAGAAGTACATGGTGACTTTTCATTTCTATTATATTGCCAAATTTTTTCTTCAATAATTAGTTATAACATAACTTTTGAAGTATTAAAAGCATTCTCACTAAGTAACTTGACAAATTCACAATTCTTTACACTTGATCAAGCATCAACATCATATAAAATGGTTAGGTGAGTGATAGATGATATTAAAGATATAAGTTTTAAAGGAAATAGTACATTACTCGCTAATGCATTTACACAAAAGTGGGCTCAAGCAACTATTGCTTCATTTAGTGGTATAGTACAAGAAAATGGGGAAGAGGAAGGGTATTCTTATATGCTTGCAATAAATTAGGATCTAACCATTGTCTCACTTGCAGCTATCTTAATTTATGCTACTGTTATTATATTACCATTAATAATCTTCTCTTGTGTAAGTCTTTATTTTCTTGGAAATCTTTCAGATAGTATACCTATCAGTTAGATACTTGCCGAATTTCTTTGTACACCACAGAGACTGCTTTATCAAGCTATAATTAAAGAACATTATGCTGATGATGATTGTTTGAAAAATTTGGCAATGCAGGAAAGAATAATTGAAAATATTGAGTGTAATATTAAGACAGATGAAGGGCATATTGAATTAGTATCACAAAAATTTAAAAATGAAACTTAAAAATCGTACAGTGCATACAGTACAACTTAATCCTGACAAATGATGAGCGGCCAAATTTGAGATGTTGATCATTCGTCACATGATACAGTAAACTTGCAATTTTATTAGCCCATACTTATCACATGATACATTGATCACGAATAGTTTATATTATACTGTAACCTAGTGTGTAAAATTCATGTGCACAATGTGCACATGTGTATATTAAATTTTTGTGTGCATATATTACACAGCATAAAATGTGTACAAATAATTACTAAAATAGATAAATTATATATAAAAATGGATAAATTATTTAT